TTTCGATTACGGATCTTCTTTTCCTTAATGTAGAATGGCCCGCAGTAGTCAACACCAACGTTCGTGAAGGGTGGTGCTTCATTTACCCTGACTGCCGGTAAATCTCCCTTTGGATAATTCGTTGATGGTGGGGCCGCTCGAAAACATTTAATGCAACTTCTGACTACTCTTCTGACTTGGTTTCGTCCGTCAAGTAGCCAGTACCTTTGTCTAATAGAGTAGAGTGTAGTCTGAGCTCCAGCGTGAAGATTTTTGATGTGGTAGGATTGTATGATCAGGGAGACAATATGATGGGATTTTGGAAGGACAATTGGATGGGTAGCATGATATGATTGGTTGGCTTGAACGAGTCTTCCTCCGATTCGGATAATTCCATCGCTATCTAGGAATGGATTTAATGTGAGCAACTTGCTCTTGTTGTGTATTTTGCAATTTTTTCGCAATTCGCACAACTCGCGTTGAAAGGTTTCCTCTTGCAACCATTTCACTATGATCTTGATGGCTCTTTCTAATTCAGCTGGCTGCAGCGGACCTTTAGGTCGTGGTGACCTGAATCGAAGGCAGTATGCTATTATTCGAGTGAATTTATCAAAATTGGAGTATCGTCGTAATAGTTGGTTGGGAAGGATCTCCATCTTGAAACAAAAGTTATTACGGCTCTCCGGAATTGTATTTGGTAATTTTAGTTCGAGGTGTGGCCAGTTGTCTTTGGGTTGCGCCAACCATGATGGGCCTGACTGCCATATTGTTTGTTTTGCTAATTCAACTAGTGAGAGTCCTCTGAATAATCCGTCGGCTGGGTTGTACTCTGTGGGCACGTGTTTCCATTGGTCAGGTGAGGTCTTCTCTCTGATTTCGGCGATGCGGTTGGCAACAAAGGTTTTCAATGCAGATGGTTGTGTGTTGATCCAGTGTAATGCGATGGTGGAATCTGTCCAGAATGTTGCATTATTTCGATGTGCATAGCTTGGTTGATTAACTCGTACAACTTTGCTAGGAGAAGAGCTCCGCATAGTTCTAAACGAGGGAGAGATATGACTTTTAACGGAGCTACTCTTGACTTGCGCATGGGATACAAAGCAAGGTGCATTGTATCCCATGATTCGGTGAATGCGATCTGATGTATATACACGCACCATACGCCCTTTCACTGGCGTCACAAAATCTATGTAATTGCACATCATCAGCATCGTCCACTATTACCTTACGGGGAAATGATAAATTGTTGAGGGTCTCCAGTTGTGTATAGTAGGTTGTTCAGTAAGTGTGAATATCGAGAGGTACGGATTTGTCCCAATGCAGCTTCAGTGTCCACAATTTTTGAAGAAGGATTTTCGCGGTAACAACCACGGGCCCTAATAGTCCTAGCGGATCGTAAATTTTCGCGACATCGGCCAGGATAGTGCATTTTGTTATTGTTTTGTGAATTGTCGCTCGTTGAACTGAGTATGTAATGCGGTAGTGTGATGATTCCCAATAGATACCGAGCGTCTTGATGGTGTTGTCGTTGGATGGGCTTAATGAGAATTTTACACTGGTCCCCGATAATCCGGATAAAACCGAGTGCTCGTTGGAGGCCCATTGACGAATGTTGATTCCACCTCTGTGTAGAAGTTGGATAATTTCGTCACGCAACCTTATTGTATCATCCAGAGTGTTAGCACCCGTTATGAGATCATCGACGTACAAGTCTCTTCTCAAGGTTTCGGAGGCTGCTGGGAAATGATGTGCTTTTTCGTCGGTTAGTTGTTTGATGCATCGAATGGTTAGAAATGCAGCTGCAGATAATCCAAACGTGACCGTGTTTAAATTGTAAATGGTGAGCTTGCCTTCCTTGTTCCGCCAGATAATCTTTTGGTAAATGCGGTCTTGATCTCGCACGAGAAATTGGCGGTACATTTTCTCAATGTCGCCCGTCAAAACGTACTTGTGCAATCGGAAGCGAAGAACTAGGGAAATAATATCATCTTGTATTGTGGGACCAACCATTAGCGTCTCGTTGAGGGATATACCTGTGGAAGATTTGGCTGATCCGTCAAAGACGACTCGCAACTTTGTTGTCTGACTAACTTGTTTTATGACTGCGTGGTGTGGTAGATAAAATCCGATTGCTTGTTGTCTACATTAATTTTCGTTATATGACCTAGTTTTATGTATTCGTCCATTGTCTCTTGGTAGGCGGTTCTTAATGTTGGATCAGTCTTTAATTTTCGTTCGAGGGCTATGAAACGACGAAAGGCTTGATGGTATGACTTTCTGATTTGGATTTTAGTGGATTTGAAAGGCAGTGCCACAACGTACCTTCCATCTTCGTTTCGTGTGACATTTTTGACGAAATGATTTTCGCACTCTGTTTCTTCGTTGGAGAGGCGATGTTTGCTTGGTACCTCTTCAAGGTTCCAGAACTTGGCGAGATTTTCTTCTAGGTTTGTGAGATGGGAGAATGTTGTTAACGCTGCCCCCGATTATACAACCGAGCTGCGTCTTCTGGAGGATGAGATCCTTTGTTGGAGATGGCGAAATGTTGAATTGACCAATGCTGAAAGTAGACAGCTTTGGTCCGGTTCCGATTAACATCTGGACTGGAGATGGTTTATGGAAGGTGGGGTCTGCTAAGTTGGATTTGATGTTTGACGGGATGTTGAGTGTGTTAGTTGATGGGTTCGTTTGGAATAAGGGTGGAAATTTGCGGTATTATAAAGAATTCAAGTGTACCGAGATGAGATGGTAAGAGTTGTTGTGTGATTGCAGGTTATAGTTAGTTCGTTCTCTCATAACCTGTGTACCGAGATGAGATGGTAAGAGTTGTTGTGTGATTGCAGGTTATAGTTAGTTCGTTCATCGCTCCGTTCGTGGATCGCGTCGGCTAATTCTTCTGTAATGAAGCTGTTGAGCAGGTGTCCAGGAGAGCTCGACAGCTTGTCCAACTTCCCTTGTTTGCGCGTACCTTGAGGAGAGCCGTTGTCATCAACTCAGCCACTGGCGTGTTAGCTGATAGCGAAGTGTGTATTATTCGGTGATTAAACAGTCATGTTGTTGGATCTAAAAATGTATGATGGTGCTGATCGCAACTCCAACATTTTATTGATCTATAGGCCGAGGTAGTATGGCCACATCGTAAACAATTCAGGCACAGCGACTTCCTCTTTGCCGTTTCAACGCGTTGTGGCACCGTCAGTTTGTGGAAATTTTCACATTCGTAGATTCTATGCTCGTTTGTCTCACAAACGGGGCATCCCATTCTTCTCACTGAATTCGGAGAGGGTGATCGCGGCCGATGCGATGATGAGCACGATGACGATGGGCGTGACGTCGATGATCGCGGTGTTGAAGGACGAGGAGATGATGGGCGCGAAGACGTTGAACTTGGTGTTGATGGTCGTGGTGGCGAGAACCGCTAAAATGATTGTCGTGGCGAGGTTTGCCAAGATGAACGCGGTTGCTGTCGCGAGTTAGTAACGAAACTTTGTTTCTGTCGGACGATGTTATTGTAGTTTTGCGAAGAGCTACGTTGTGGATTGAGTGTATATTTGTTGTTTGGAGCAAACCAATGAGTAGCGTCAAGACACCTTACTCGCTCGGTTAGGAAATCCAGTAGGTTGTTCAATGTGGGAATGTCGTCGGAATTTAACGTTTTCTCATATTCTAAACGGGTACTCCTGTCTAGTTTTGGAAGCATGTGTAGGATTACGAGGAAGTCCCAGGTGTCAACCGGTAATTTTAAAGATTTCAGGGAGTGAAGGTGGGTTCTAATGTGGTTGACGAACGCGCGAATGGACTTCGGAGAATCTTTCTCGATGTTGGTGTTTGGATCGTTGGTGTTTGGAGTAATAGTTCTCCGTGGCGCATGGCGATTAAGCGTTTGTTGTCGTAGTGGTCAATAGTATCCAAGCATCCTTGTAGCTATTCGGGGTTGTCTCTAATGCCTCAATGATAACCGCGGCGTCTCCGGACAAAGCAGATCGCAGATAGTGCAGTTTCTCGATATCGGAAAGCGTTACCTTATTATCGATCATTGATATGAATCGATCCTTAAATACCAGTCACTCCTTCGCCTTGCCGTCGAAACATGGTAAATCGATTTTTGGCAGCTTGACTCCTACTGAACCGCCTATGATTGGTGATGTCTGTTGAGTTTTCTTATCTTCTTGTGCTTGTTCGAGGATTTTTCGTGTTGCCGTCATTGCGTCAATATAACGATCCTCGATTTCCATTTTTTCCGTTTCTTCTGCTTCGTCAGTCAATTCGATGCTGAACTGCATGTTGTCCAGCATGGTGTATCTTTCCATTAATTTGTCCAATTTGTAGGAAAGTTTTGTTGGGTTCGGTTCTTGTTCGAATTTGGTAAGATAATTGAGTTAAAAGAATTGAGTTAAAAGACTCTTGAAATTACGTCGGAGACTAGAGAGCTCCTTCATTTGAATTGACGTCATTATTATGAGATATAAATTCTTTCACTGACACAAATATGTAGCACAAATACACTACACTGCACTGCACAAATATCGCACTTGAATGTATGTCTTTCGGATATTGTATCCGGCTCGAAGGACCAATAAATGTAGCGTGCCGATCTAGTTCTACGTATTTTCTTTTCTTTAACGTACGAGCCGATCGGTGTCTCGCTGCCTTCAACATTGATGAAGTGCAGCTAGTTCAAAGTAAAGTTTGATTTGTGATATTGATTAAAGAGTGTGAATTAAGTGTGATTAACACTTTTTTGAATATTCACTCACAGAAATATATTGGGCACTGAACGTAAGATTAGAAAAAACAAGAGTATATTTTTTTTTTTGTTCTCTAAATTGTTCTTACCCTGGAATGCACTGGGTTTGGAGACGCGAATCGGCAGACACGCGGGAGGGTTTTCTTATAGATTTGAAAGTGAGAATAAGACTGTTGTATTTTGTTTCGGAGTCGGCTCTTATATATCCGAGCCCCTCTTTGTTTCCTTTCCGATCCTGTGATCGGAAAGGTGGGTTTTTCCAAACATTTTCAGGGTCAGTTCCAAGTAAATGGTGGGGATCAATGCGATAAAGAAACTCATCGAGCCTTGGAATGAAGAATCAAATATGTCTACAATACGGAAATGTTAGTTTGAAATATGAAATACGGTCGCGGGAGGTCCCTACCGTAGAGAAAGTTATAAGATAGGAGTTTATTGTCTCTGGCTCGATGAATTTATTTGTCACATCACATTTTGACCCTCATTGTGTTCGGTAAGACAGAACAACATCTATTAACGATATCTGCCACAGTGCTTTTTTTGAAATTAAGCATTGCAGCGATTTGGCGAATTTTCCTTTTCCCGATGAAAAATTACAAATTGGCGAAAATGAAATGAAACATTTTTACTCTTCCGACCCATTTTCACGATAAATGACAGTATACAGAAATCTACGGTAATATTGACCGCTTGGTATTAAACTCGATAACACGTGTTTGAAAACAAACACTACGTTTCGAGTCGAAGGTTTCTAGGAAAATAGTCAAGTTCACTATTTCTAAATATATTGAGAAACAAAGTAACTGTTCGAATATTTTTGTAACTCGTCAATTGAATGTAATTTCAGTTAATGTTTAATATTATATAAGTATATTAAGATAAATTAATGATCTTCCAAACACATCTTCCAAATCAATAAGTAATCTATCGAAAGCAACAATTCCGAACTCATATCATATGTATAAATACCAAAGATACAGAGCGTCAAAGTTAAACATACCTTAGTGTCCGAATATTTTTGTGATTCACTGTATATTCATTAAGAAAATATACATAAAACTTTACGAGGAACATCTTTAGCGTGTTAGCTCTGGAAAAAAAATGTGACTGGTCACGTGGCGTGGCGTAGCAACGGATTTGAATGGCAGAAACATGGAAAAGAATATGAATCTGGTGAACGAAAAAGTGTACGCCCGATGGCAGACGAGGTTGGAAGAGTAAGGTATGAGTATATTAAGGATGTACGGTTTGGTGAGAGGAACGCCTGGTTCAATCCAAGTGTATATG